TTTACGTTATTGCGATTGGAGATTAAAAAAATTGAGATGGAATAACAAATCGTTCTCATGAAATAACTGATTTTTTCATTAAAACAAAAAAATGTTGCATTTTATTAAATGGATTGTAACAATAAGTATAATTACGGCTTTTCTTCCACTATTTTTAACTCCGTTTGAAACTTCAAATGCGATATAATTTTGGCTTGGACCATCTAAGCTGACTGACATCAACTTGCTATAATTTCTGTTTACATTACATCGCAATTCGATGACACTCTGGCTCAGACACCAGAATGTTTTGACGATTTTAGCATTCGTTTAGGATTTTCAAACAACCTGGTCTCTTTTAAAATACTTTTAATTTGTTCTTACGTGGTTTTCAGATGTAGTGACGACAATATTAAAGTTTAAAGAAGAAAATTCTAACATTTAAACCGACTAAACAATAACATAGTAAACTTGCATAATTAAACAGCAACTAAAAATGATAGGTTTTACTAAATCTTTTCCTGTGCAATTATTACTAGCATTGGAGACAAGGATAATAGTTTGTTTGAAAGAGAAAAGAACAGGCTTTGAAGTAAGCCTAAAAGCGTTTAACTAGAAATAGTATTTCGAAAGTTATTAAGCACAAAAGATGAATTGCGTTTATTTTGATACACCCTGTAGTTTTTATATACACTGAATCAAATTGCAATTCTTTTCAATGTAGCCTAATTTGTTATAGAAAGGAAAAACGTATTGTGTAAAATCGGCTAAACGCTGTTTTTCTGAAGGACTACAGTATCCTGAAGGTGACACGTGGTATAACTCAAACTGTGACAAATGTGTATGTAGGGTAAGTATATATAATAAACTCATAATGCAACAAACTTTCTCAGCTTCTAATTGGACCTTGAACATCCAATGTTGGGGTCCACAGCGTTGTTTATGAGATATTGTTCCAGTCTCTGGACAGAAAGAGTGCCATAGCAGAAACGACCAATCCTTGGAAACGACCACAACATACCTGCATTTTTGAATAATATGTATATATACAGTAATTTCGATATTTGACTATGCTTTGTCTTGAAATCATCATTTGCCTCAACAATAGACCTTTCCCTTTTTAAGTGAAATTTTGATCTAGACTAGCCTGGACAAAAATTTCATCACAGCTTGAAAGAGCATCACAAAATTAGTAACATTCGATTCCGAAGTTTCGTTGCAAAATGTTGTAAAATGCGGATGATATAGCCTTGCGAAGTTTGCCGTTTTTCAGTCATTTGGTATTACAAACGGGAAATTGATAATCAGTTTCATGATCTGATTATCAATTTCCCGTTTGTAATACCAAATGACTGAAAAACGGCAAACTTCGCAAGGCTATATTATCCGCATTTTACAACATTTCGCAACGAAACTTCGGAATCGAATGTTACTAGTTTTGTGATGCTCTTTCAAGCTGTGATAAAATTTTTGTCCAGGCTAGTCTAGATCAAAATTTCACTTAAAAGGGGAAAGGTCTATTTGGTCGAAAGAAGTAAAATATAACCTTACTACTCCTGATAATGAATAATTTACAAAAAGTGTGAGAAAGTCATGACAATATTTAGCAACTATATTGTTCAACCTGATACTTATGTCGGAGGTGAAGACCCCCTGAGTAGTGACGTTTTTGTCATCACGGACGTTACCTGAAAAACTAATTTTGACGGCATTTTGCATCATAGCGCTCGTGTAAGGAAGCAAAAAGTTTTAAAAATCTTATGTTTTGTCACATGTGTTGAAGATTACCACGAATTGGTACAAACACAGTTTTTAATCCAGTCCTCCCTCGGCAATCTGACGTCCATGTTGACAAAAACCTTGCTTGCTTATTAAGCTCCCTAGTATCAGCTTGTGTTTTTCTTTACAGGAAGAAAACGAATGTATTTTTTAAATTAAAAAGTGACATTAAAAAGTGAAGTTCGACGCCAAACTCATTTAGATCACAGTATAATTATGAAACATTGCTATATCGAGATATTTCTCAAAGCCCAATCTCAATATTCATAAAAAAAATGGCAAAAATGAAAAAATTCATTTTCGTAGTATCAGTTTTTGCATAAAATTTGTTGCTACTGGTCGTTAAAATTACATATTTACACTATCAGTAGTCCTTAAAATGTCCTTTAGATTTATATTCAAGAACCAGAGTGAAGAACCAGAGCGTTAAAAACTCATTTTTGTAAGGCAGCTTTGTAAATTAACCAGCAGTCTTGGATTGAGATACAGGGTCTTAGCTAGGATTTGAGATCTTGGGCGTGTTTCTAATGACCAGGGTGTGCACATGTCAATTACTTTGAGTAGCCAAATTCACGGTTCTAGTTATACTCGCCAACAACAGACAATGCCTGTGGCTGTTCTATGCTTTGCTACCAAATTCAAGACGAGCATACGCTCATACTGCGCAGTGACATTAGAATATTAAGTTATTTCAGCAACTCTTGGGGACATTTAAAACCTTTTTAACACCATACAGTTCCCATTATCCATCAAAACATTAAAACATCACGGATCACATTTCGTAAATTGGAAGAAATTCTGTGTGTTGTAAGTACTGTAGCATCACCTTATTTTATGAACCTACACGGCCTTATATAAATAATGAAGCCGCGTTCATTTTATCTAGCCGTGTTTTGCCACTTTTGGCCGCGATAACACGGCCAACACGGCCCTCTAGCTAAGACCCTGTTGAGATACTTAAAACCAAATCATCTGCGCATAGTAAATTTTACTTGACTTTCTTGACTTATTTCGAGTACTTTCACAGGATGGTGTTTCAAATTGCGAAAGTACAGAAAGAGTATGGAAAAATCAGGCTTGTGAAAAGACATGTGAAGGTGATCCTTGCCCCAAGCCAACACAAGGATGTTTTTGCCCTGGAAGGAAGGTATTGTTCGATGGAAAATGTGTTGACCAACTTGCCTGTCCTTGTAGGCATAATGGAAGAACAGTTCAGGTAAGTTCACAGTTGCTTTCAACGCTGCCATTTTATTTGTAGATATGTTATTTAGGCTAACGTTCACTCACAATCCTAATAATTTTCTCTGGAGCAACTGATATAAAAAATATCATAGACGGACATTTTACCAGTGGCGTTCGGGGGAATGCCCCCTCGGGAAAATTTAGGATATTTAGACTCAGAGAAAGCCCGGAAATGCAACTAAAATTTGCCATTCTTTGTTCACTTCCAAATTCCATGTCAAAGCTCTTATAATTTACCTGAAAATTAGCTTCACTCTTAGGGCGAATTTACTCACCCCAATCCCCCCCCAAACCCCCAGTCGGTCGCTTCTTCGCCCCCGATCGCTCGCTTCCTTTCTATATGTGCTTATCCTAGAATCACGAGAGTATAACAGACAATCGGTGTTTAACATGCATATACATTCAGCTGGTAATATAGAATGTGGAAGAAAACTGGGGTAGGGCATTTTTAACGGGGAAAAATTGCGTAACTTCTGTTTTTCTAAACCATTTCCATGTTAGATTAGATAGTCCAGGAGGAGAAGGGGGGGGGGGTATCGTAACCCAAGCAGGGAATTTATGAGAATGTGTGACTTTGGTCAATTTTGGGGTGCTGATTTCAAAAATCGTTTTGGGGCATATATAGGCAAGACGTTAGTTGTCTTAGTTAGCTAGGGAACCCTGTGATTTTGGTCAATTTCGGTGCGCTGATTTCAAAAATCAATGTTACACGGGCAAATACCGAGGCCTTCAGCCTCGTTTTGGTGCATGCAGCCTCGTTTTGGTGCAAATAGAAGGAAATCATTAGGTAGCTTAGATAGGCAAAGTCGTTGGTGATCTTGGTCAATTTCGGTGCGCTGATTTCAAAAATCGATGTGACACCGCAAAATACCGAGGCCTTCAGCCTCGTTTTGGTGCTACAGCCTCGTTTTGGTGCCTATATATGTGCCTTAGATAGCCAAGGAAGATGGTGATTTTGCTCAATTTCGGTGCGCTAATTTCAAAAATCGAAGTTATGCGCAGATACATTGGGACCTCTAGCCTCCTTTTGATAAACATATTCTTGATTTAGTGAAACTATTGGGAAGATCCTACTTAATAAACAAACAAGAAAGCTAGTGATTTCTGTTCTTTTTGATAAAAAGCAATACTGTTGCCCCATTAAATTGAGGTCATGCTATGCATGGCATTATAAGCATGTCCATTCTGATCACAAACCTTGCATTTTCCTTTTCAAAATTCACTCGTGTCTTCAATTTCCACATCCAAATCATCCTCGTAGTCATCATCGGAGGACGAACTGTTCTCACTCTCCGTGCCTGCGAGTAGCGCATCAATCTCCTCGGGATAGCAAATGTCACTCCCGACAACGTTTCCATCTCCGTCCCATCCATGCTCGTCGGGGCTCTCAAGTTCTACTAGCAGCTGATCGGCGTGTCAGAGGCGCCGGAATATCGATAATTGGGGGGGGGGGCAGATATTCATATATTCGTGTTCTGCCCAATTAATTTCTTTTGAAATCGATTGTTTTTACAGTCTATGAACACGAATATATGAATATTTGCCCCCCCCCCCAATTATCGATATTCCGGCGCCTCTGCGGCGTGTCAAAAGATGTACGCGACATAGTTAGCTCTCATGATGTGATGATGAAGATTTGACCGGCATGGTGGCATCAGACTTAGGTCGATGATCTTCTGCTCCTTGTTGAACTTGTTCCAAAATACTTTCTTCCTTGCCTCATTGACTGAGAGGATACGTGGATGCCCATATATAGAACAGACGAACCATTCTAAACCCCTAAGTGACCTCCGTACCCAAGGATGAAAATATATCGATAAAGGCAGTGTTCTTGGTCACAGCTTTCCACACGGCATGCTTTCCCTTTCGAAAAAAGCTAGATACATAATCGTTTCCGGAAAAGGCATGCATTCCCAAAAGAGCTCTTCTGTGACCAAGGGACAATCCAGTTGACGTCACGTCGATGATTTTCCTGTTCTTCCCGCTGCTATTGTCAATCAGAGTCTGTGTGTCCGAAAAATTGTGACCAATGAACAAGCTAAGGTTATTATGTCTATATCACTAGATGGCGACCCTCTGATGGCGACCGTACCGTTGCAGTTGAGCTAGGTGGCAACTGGCTAGCACGCACAAACAACAAGTTTCGTGTCCGCTTCCTCGCAGTCGCTGGTTAATTCTGATAATGTGGCTACATCATCATGATTGATCTTCTAGCACACAGACTTGTTGGAAAAGTATACAACTTTTGCTTTTTGACCCAATACAAGGACAGCATTGGCGACAAAATTGTATACTTTTCCAACAAGTCTGTGTGCTAGAAGATCAATCATGCTGATGAAGCCACATTACCAGAATTAACCAGCGACCGCGAGGAAGCGGACAAGAAACTCGTTGCATTTGTGCGCACAAGCGAATTGCCACCTAGCTCAACTGCAACGGTACGGTCGCCATCTGGTGATATAGACATAATAACCTTGTTCATTGGTCACTTATTTGTAGACAACTGGATTCTGATTGACAATAGCAGCGGGAAGAACAGGAAAATCATCGACGTGACGTCAATTGCATTGTCCCTTGGTCACAGAAGAGCTCTTTTTGGAATGCATGCCTTTTCCGGAAACGATTCTGTATCTAGCTTTTTTCGAAAGGGAAAGCAGGCCGTGTGGAAAGCCGTGACCAAGAAAACTGCCTTTATTATCGATATATTTTCATCTTTGGGTACGGAGGTGACAGCAAGCGAGGAGTTGGTTCGGGGTTTAGACTGGTTCGTCTGTTCTATATACGGGCATCCACGTATCCTCTCAGTCAATGAGGCAAGGAAGAAAGTATTTTGGAACAAGTTCAACAAGGAGAAGAAGATCATCAACCTAAGTCTGATGCCACCATGCCAGTCAAATCTTCATTACCACATCATGAGAGCTAACTATGTCGCGTACATCTTTTGACACGCCGATCAGCTGCTAGTAGAACTTGAGAGCCCCGACGAGCATGGATGGGACGGAGATGGAAACGTTGTCTGGAGTGACATTTGCTATCCCGAGGAGATTGATGTGCTACTCGCAGGCACCGAGAGTGAGAACAGTTCGTCCTCCGATGATGACTACGAGGATGATTAAAAAACTTAACACATTACACATAACACATACCTTCGGCTTCGTGAATACGATGTTTTATTTTCGGATTAACGCCGTCAATGTTTCCAATGCTGTTTTAGTACTTTTGGTCGTGTTTTTAGAATGTCTTTCGTCTAAAATTCTGGCAATTTCTAGATCTTCTTCCGATGCAGAATCATGGCTGGCCATTTTGAATTAAATAAATAACAATTTCCCGCTTTTTTCTCCACACGTCAGTCTCGTGAGTTGCGTGGCTTCCACGATTTTAAATATCCACCGCTGTACCGGTGAATACGAGGTGGGCGCTGGTCAAAAGGACTGCAGAAATTAATATCCACCGCTCTACCGGTGAATACGATGTGGGCGCTGGTCGAAAGGACGGCAGAAACTAATATCTACGAGTAGATGTCGGAATACGACGATATATTTCATCCTCACGTGGGCAAAATGGAGCATTTTAATTGGACGTTTTGAATTTGAGGTATAATATTGCCATTTATTATATAGTAGAGAATGAGATACTGAAAAATACACAGTGACATATTTTCCATATCTTCACTAGTGAAGATATCGATCATGTAACTTTTCCCAATTTGCTTTTGAGCGTTAAATTTCACAATTTTTTGCTTGGAATATATAATAAACAGAACATTACACGGTGGCTTGAAGATACGACTATTATCTTCTCGTGTTAAAAGTGATATTTAACTCACTCGATGCACTCGTTCGTAAAATATTGTTGTCACCACTCGATCGAATATAAAAGTCCTATCTTCGCGCCGCCGTGTAATCATAGTCTTTCGAGACATGGCCTGGAAACTCAGTAAACTTCAAAGCGGTTATACACCCTTTTCATAAATAGCTGCCGATTAAAAATTCTTTTATGTGCATATAAATTGGCCCAACTAGCCTCGTTTCTGGGTAGAAATTCCTTTGAAATCTTAACATGAGTACGAGGTGTAGTATTTGTAGGATGCGATAAGTTAATAATTAACTTCGAAGCATGTAACAACGTTGATTGACATTTGTAATAAATCATCATTCAATCTATTCTATAATGGCGACGAGGATGTAAAAATAAACAGCGTGAAAAATATAACAGAAAA